CAGCCTTACACAGACATAACCAATTGCTAGGGAATGCAAGCAGGAGAGTATTATTTCAATCAAATGTAGTGCATTCCATAGGCATCAACTGGCCACAGAATGGATTGTTGTAATAGAATGGACTAAATGACTTTTGTTCTGATTCAGATAAGCTCTTATGTTCTCAAACCCATTGCATTCATTTCTTTAAGGGAAGATATATGATGTGTATTTCCTAAACACAGTAGGCTTCAACCTCCAATGTTCATGTATTTATTCACATGTTTTCATTGAATATCCCCAGTCACAACAACCAAATCTAAAAAGTTAACGGGCAGTATTTTTAAAAAGGCAAAAAAATAAAGGTAATAGAAACAGTATGCCAATCCTGTTCTATGAACTAACAGTAAAAAAGTGATTCATCTAATTACTTTAATGAGACGCCAAACCAAAGTGTCAAAAGTAATACTATTTGTAACATTAAATACGAAGTTTCAAGATAGTCAGCATAAATACTGGAAAAAAATTAAATAGTGTAAGCACTTTCTAATATAGATTTTTCTTTGTCATTGCCAAATACCTACTGAAAATAAAAAAGAAAGGTTATTTCCAAGCAAAATAGAATTCACTAATTAAATATAATTGTCTACCAGAAGCTTAATAAATTTCCCCTGCTTTAGACTGCAAAAACAAGGTCAACCAATTGCTTGGGAAGCCACAAAACTACAGGTAATCATCACTTAATGACTGTCCTATTTAGCGACCATATGAAGTTACAAAGGTGCTGAAAAACATAACTTTTATGACCAATTCTCATATTTAACAACCGTTGCAGCATCTCCGAGGTCACACAATAAATATTTGTGCATTTTGCAACCAGCAGACCATGGTCACATAATCGCCAGTTGCATACTTCACAGCCAGCTTCCAATAAATAGAGTCAGTGGAGAAGCTAACAAGTCACAATCATGTAATGTCTCAGTTAATGACTGCTTTGCTTAACAATGGAGTTGCCAGATCCAATTTTGGTTGATAAGTGAGCACTTATATGTATATATCTAGTAGGTCTGTGCAGCATTTCAGATTCAAAGAGAAAAATGAGTTTCAGATTGTAGGCAGTCATGCATAGCACCTTTTTTATGGATTGAGTTGTGGAGGGTAGCTGTGCAGGCCATGTATGTTCTCCTTAGAGTTAAAAAGTTGCTGCTGGAAATAAGAAGCAAAAATGCATTTTGAGTTTTGGGCGTCTTTGGAAGTTTTAGTGCATTCTGATGATTCATTTTTCCTCCTCCCAATAGCTCATGGGAGGACAAAAAACCCTCAAATGAATTTGAAGAATGATTGTGAAACTACAACATCATCATGTAAATTGGAATCTGTTTATTTGATGTGTGTGCTGATTTAAACATTACATTTCTAGAACATAGGAAGTTGACTCACAGTGGAATGTTTTCATCAACATGCTCTTTAGTGCAGTTGCCACTGACACTGTCATTATAGCTCATTGCTAGGGCAACCAATCAATATGAATATAAAACAGATTTAGAGGTCAGTTTTAGAATGTACTAAATGTAAAACAAGAACTTGTAAGATACTTTTGAATATGAATGATTGCTCAAAGAAGTGAGGTTTGTACTCAAAATATGTTTTCAATTAGCCTGAGAGAGGATTCTTTTCGCTAAACGTAGTGAGTATTCTTTCAAAGTTTTTTTTTTTTTTTTTTGCAGTCATTAAATCTTGTCTCTAAAAGTTTTGGCTTTGAACATTATATTTTAATGGTAAGATACATATAAACTTTGGGGATATATTTGTGTGTGTGGGGGGGGAATAGATGCCCTAGTTATTTACAATTTTCAATTAATATTAGTAGAGTAAGTAGGGGTGTAGGGATGCTCTGACAGTCATAAGCACAAGGATCAGTGGTACGTCACTTTTTTCAGTGCTATTGTAACTTTGAATGATCACTAAACAAATGGTTGTAAGTTGAGGATTACCTGTCCAAAGTTGGGAAAGGACAAAGCTAACTTTTTCTTGAGGACTGTGATGCAAGAATGTAGAAATTGCTTCTGCTGCTGCTGCTGCTTACATCACCGAAGATTCCTCTGTATTCTCTACTCACAACCTTGACACATTTATTGTTGTGGGACTTCACCTGTTCAATCTCTTTTTTAAAATCTGCAGTGACGGAGCACCCACAAGAAAGCCATGAAGAAAGCCATTCCGCTTATTAATTGTTCTCATTGTCAGGAAATTTTTCCTTAATTCTAGGTTGGATTCTTCTTTGTTAAGCTTCCATCCATTACCTCTTGTCCTGCCCTTAGATGCTATGGAGAATAGGTTGACTCCTCTTCTCTATGACAGCATCTCAAGTATTGGAAGACTATCGTCTTATCCCTGGTTTGTTAGACTACTAGACCTACCCAGTTCCCAAATCATATTGCTTTTCAGTAATCTCCTGACATCAAATGTTGTTTTGGTTCCTTTAGGCTAATCATTCCTCTTTCCTTAGTTGCTTCTTTATATATATTTATATTAATTTAATTTCTAATCAATTCTCAGCTATGATGGCCTCCTGCAACCCTCTACCAGCAAAAATGGAGCTTGAGAGGGCTGCACACACTCTGGCCACCCCAGGCAATCCCAACATGAGTGACATTGAGCTAGCCACACCCACCCTGGCCAGCCCCCCCCCAGGGTCAATGCGGCCCTCAGTGAAATCAAGTTTGACACCCCTGATTTAGTTCATTCTGTGCATAGCACAATCTGTTCCTCAAATTATTGATACTTGAACCAAAGGTAATATTATACTTATTAATAGACTATTCTTCTAGCAGAATATGCAGATTTTAAAAAATATAAGCTACTTAAAGCCATGAGAATAAGTGGCATATAGTGATGGGCAATTCAAAAGTAAAATCTTCACAATAGCCAATCTGTGTGTGAGAGAGAAATCTATAAAAGCTGTATATAGCTTCGCACATGATTTGGAAGTGTATTTTTCTGTCAGATGTTGTGGAATAAGAGCATAGTCAAAAATAGACCAGCCGCTTCTAAATCTAGCTTGTTCCTCGGTTAATGTGTTCTCTGTGTGAAAATGTACTTTCTTCTACTCTAAAAAAGTAAAATAAAAATAAATCTGTAGTTCAATTGTTGTCATTATTTTGTTAAGTGGAATCAAGTTAGTTTTTCCACTGCACTGTTTTCCTGATTTACCAAAGTATTATTTGTGCTCAGAAAGCTTTTTCCCTTGATCTCAGTATTGATTGTCACATTTGTTACTGTAGAAGCTGTGGCTTGCTATAATCTATATTTCAGGATCCACATTGCATCATATGGTTAATAACTGGCTGCCAAAAAGCCAGGTAGAGAGGGGTGGTAGTACTGTTATTGTTGTTGTTGCTATTTTAAAAATCTCAGTTGGCTTTCCAAAGATGTTATTTTCTTCTCTCTCAGAAAAAGGTTTTGGTTTGTGGGTAGATGTATTTTCTACACAAATGAATGCACTTGAGCGGTCACCAGGAAATTCAAGATAGAATAAATTATTCATAATCCTGGTATTCAGAACCTAATTAACAACTCTATCCTCCAGTACAGAAATGGAAAAGATGTTCTAAATGTTGTGCTTGAGCAAAATTCTGGGCAGCTTCTTAATATTGTAAATAATATTTCATATTCCATATCCATCAAATTTTAGACAAACTGGATAGAAGGGTGTGATAATATTGCTCAGAATAATGCTTGGGACTTTTAGTTATTTGAAATGTAGGTGCATTTATTTTCCAATAGAATATTTTCCTACTTCTCATTTTAAAAACAACTGCATGTGAACTGAATGGTAACTATTCATCACAGAAAAATACAAGTAATCCTTGACTTACAACAGTTCATTTAGTGACAATTCAAAGTTACAACTCACACTGAAACTTATGACCATTTTTCATACTTATGACCATTGCTGCATCCCTATGGTCATGTGATCAAAATTCAGGTGCTTGGCAACTGACTCATATTTATGACCGTTGCAGTGTCCCAAGTTCATGTGATCATCTGTAACAACTGTGGTAAGAAAGATTGTAAAATGGGGCAAAACTCACTTAACTGTCTCACTTAGCAAAATAAATTTGGGGCTCAATTGTGGTTGTAAGTCAAGGACTACCAGTAATGAATAAATGGCATGTTGAAAGAACCAGATAGGGTGGTCAATTTTGATCAGAAAAACGGGGAGAAATTAAGCACTTCATTCCATCTCTCCAGTCAGATTCCTGGTTTACTACTTCAATATTTAGTTTAAAAAAAATTAAATATCAAGAAATTGTACACAGACATGTTAGGTTTTACTTTAATGTACATTAAGAGCATTTGACAAAGTCAAAGTTAATGTATTGGCAACTGCTTTTTTGTGCAGAAGCAAATGCCAGAGGTATACAATCTCAACTTTCAATATTATCACTTGTTTTATCTAATTACAGCTGTGTAGTTAGAGGTTAGCAATGTGTTATGTTAGAATAAGGTAGCAGATTGATGAAAGAAATTATTTGTTCTGGCAATCCTTTCCTTTCATCTAAGCCCTCCAATTTATTCATTGTCTTTACTTTTTAATACCAGAGCATCTTAGATATGCTCTGCAGTACTAGCAAATGCATTAGTTTCTACTTAGATACAGTCCCAAAGTCATATCTGCTGAAAATCAGTTTCATAAATTATTACGTGCAAGGAAAGTAGGAAGTCCATGATTAATTGCCTTATAGTTAGTAAACTATCTTCTATGAAGGCAGAACCAATCCTATTTACACATATTTTTGCAAATACTGCAGGCATTACCCTAATCTCTGGTTTAATAATAAAAATATAAAATATTTAAAAAGCAGTATTAAGTACATTTTATCCCACGATAAAAATGAAGATTCTAATCATTGTAGGAAGGAATTGACTATGGTGTCTTAAATTTTATAGGGCTTCTTTTCTGAAAACAACAATTAAATCTTGTCAGTGTCTCTCTTGTAATTTTTTTCTATTTACAGGGAAGTGGTGCAAGCAAACTGTGTTCATTGGAAGAAGAGGTTTTCATTTATATGTAAAATAAGCGCAAGTGCCACAACAGGGATTCTGGATCCCTGCATCTGCAGAGTCTCTGTACGAAAGGTATAAATAGGTGTCATACTTATATTTGTATTGTAGTTGTGTCCCTGTAGATTATAAATAATTTTAGTATCTGTTCCCATTTAAGTTATAAGTATTCATTTTGTTATTTTGAATTAGATTGTCTGAGTATGTTCTGCTCTAGCTATTGCCTAATCTCTTACTGATGTATAAAAGCTATTTTACAAGTCGATAGCTAAGGACAGCATTCATAACATAAGAATTTAAGATTGCTGTATCTTGAAATGTTGGGGCTTTGAATGAATAAACTATGCATGCTGGCTCAATATTTTTGAAATCCAACATATGTAGAAGGCGCTAAATTGAAGAAGGTTGGATTAAGATAGTGCAGTTAGATCTAGATTTGTGATTTATACACCTATACATACACTCATATACTTATCCATATTATTTTCTTTATTATCTCAAAAGTGAGAAAGATTCTTTAGGATAGCAATAACAATAGCACTTAGACTTATATACTGCTTCATAATTCTTTATAGCAGGGGTCCCCAACCACCAGGCTGCGGACCGGTATCGGTCCGTGGATCACTTTGCACCGGGCCGCAAAGAAAATAAAAATAAAAAATAAAATAAAAATGGCGGCTTTCTTCGCCTTCGGTGAATGCTGCTGGGATCAGGGATCAAGGACACAAATGAAAGAAGGAGAGGGAGGAAGCAACCAAAACCTGTCCTACTCTCTGGCTCAGTGGCTTCGGTTTCCTCCCGCCTCGTTCCTCTCTCAGTCGCTCTCTCGCTCCTCCACCAGCCCAGGAAGAAACTGCTTCAAAGAAGCCGGCAGGGTGGCTTTTCCTGTCGGCGCAGCTCCCCCGAAGCACCCGTTCACCCCCACCCCGCCGCCAATCAATCCAGGTTCAATCCAGTGCTCCGTTCTGCCTGCCTGCCTGCGTTTCTGGTTGTTTTGGAGCAGCTTCGGCTGAGAATAATAACTATTCGCCTCTTTTACTCAGCCGAAGCTGCTCCGAAACAACCAGAAACGAAGGCAGGCAGGCAGAACGGAGCACTGGATTGAACCGCGGGCGGCGGGGTGGGGGTGAACGGGCGCTTCGGAGGAGCTGCGCCAACAGGAAAAGCCACCCTGCCGGCTTCTTTGAAGCAGTTTCTTCCTGGGCTGGTGGAGGAGCGAGAGAGCGAGTGAGAGAGGAACGAGGCAGACACCTGAGGGATGAGGCTGTGGGAGGGAGGGAGACACCTGAGGGATGAGGCTGAGGGAGGCAGGGCCGATAGGCGGGGCTTCTCAGCCGTCCTGCAGGGACTTGTCCTGAGCCGCGGAGACAGCCGTGGGCCGCCGCCGCCCAGCGCTCAGTTTTGAAGGCGCTCCTCAGCCAGGCACAGTTCCTGAATCTGCAGCTGAAACCCTCCGTTTTAAATGTCCCAATAGAAGAGAATATCTGTCACTCAGGGTTGCAATGAGGAGGCATTGGCGCTCCCTGAACTTGGTGGTTTGCTGGCAGACGTTTTATCACCCGACTAGGTAACAACATCAGATGTTACCTAGTCAGGTAATGAAACATCTGCAAGCAAACCACCAAACTCGGACTCCTCCCCCCCCCCCGGTCCTTGAAAAAGTGTTTCTGCGTGAAACTGGTCCCTGGTACAAAAAAGGTTGGGGACCACTGCTTTATAGCACTCTCTAAACCAGATGTTCAAATATGCGGCCCACAGACCAAATCCAGCCTGTAATAGGCTGCAGAGTTGGCCCATGTGGCTGTCCCAGAGATGCTGAGGGACTGTGCTGTGCTGCCCCAGCCCTGGCCACGCCCACCCAGTCGGCCTGCCTATCAGACCACCCCAGGCCCCCAAGGGCAAACAAACTCCCGATGTGGCCCACGACCAGATTATCAACCTTGGAAGGATGGAAGGCTGAGTCAATCTTGACCTGGTCAGGATCAAACTCTTGCTCTGGGTAGAGTTAGCCTCCAATACTGCATTCTAACATTATAGATTCAGTAGGTCCTTGAGATTCAGATTTGAAATAAATAAGAGAAAAGGAAAGAGCTGGTAGTCTGCTGTTTCTTTTCCTTATTTTTACTCTGCCTCATCCAGGCCTAGAGGAATAAACATTAGCACCTCCCTTTGATAACAATCGTAACATCCAAATTTTACAAAGAATACTGCTAATTGTATGAAGTGGCTTGCTATGTTTCCTTATAAAGAATCCATAGAACTTCATTTGATTTGGTTTTTTGACTACAACTATTTATTTTTTGCAGGAATTAAAAGGAGGGAAAACTTACGCAAAGGTAAAAAGATAACACTTGTAATACAATGCCTCTTTTTGTTTCCTTTTCATATCTGTCTATAATATTTGTTTAGAGTTACATTGCAGTATAGGCTTCTTATTGTTATGAATGATATCAGGCATTATAAAAGTTGTATAGCACAAAGATGATAACTCATACTACAAAGCCTAAATGTGTTTTATTTCTTTTTTGTTCTGTGGTTACTAATTTCATTCTTTTGTCAATAGTTGGGTTTTGCAGATCTTAACCTGGCAGAGTTTGCTGGATCAGGAAACACCACTCGCCGCTGCTTACTGGAAGGTTATGATACCAAAAACACAAGGCAGGACAATTCAATTCTCAAGGTAATTATATGGGAATTTTTTGCTATTCCATTTTGTTTTTTTAAAAGTAGCTTTTTGGTAATTACCGTATATGCCGGCGTATAAGACGACCCGGCGTATAAGACGACCCCCCAACATTTCCACTCAAAATATACTTTGTTATATACTCGCCCCCTCTTCTGCATGCCTTCCACTTTTGCACTGTTTTTTTTTTTTGAGGCACTTTTGTGCACCGTGGAAACGAATCCCGTGAAGCCGAAAGGAGCAGCCAGCCTTCTCCCAGCTCCCAAGGAAACGAGGCTCGCACCGCCCGGGCTCCGCTGATGTATCCGGCTGGGGCTGTCAGGAGTTGTTACCGCTGGCGCGGCTCCGCGCGGCTCCAGTCCCGTGTTGCCTCGGGAAGGGAAAGGCAAAAAGGAAGAGCCGCGGCGGCGCTTTGCAATGGCAGCAGCGGCTCCTGGTTTTGCCTTTCCCTTCCCGAGGCAACGCGGGACTGGAGCCGCGCGGAGCCGCGCCAGCGGTAACAACTCCTGACAGCCCCAGCCGGATACATCAGCGGAGCCCGGGCGGTGCGAGCCTCGTTTCCTTGGGAGCTGGGAGAAGGCTGGCTGCTCCTTTTGGCTTCACGGGATTCGTTTCCACGGTGCGCAAAAGTGCCTCAGCCGCGGGCAGCCGCAGTGCTTCCCAATTACTATTTGCCGGCGTATAAGACGACCCGGCATATAAGACGACCCCCCCAATTGGAGGCATGTTTTTCAGGGCAAAAAAGTCGTCTTATACGCCGGCAAATACGGTACTAATAGGAAAGCAAAACACAGTAACCATCCATTATTTCATATTTCTCTTCCTCTTCCCCTTCCATCCCCATTCATTATCACAGTAAATGGGACCTAAAGGAATTAGTTTGTTTTAATAAGATATCTGATGAAAAATTGTAAATAAGCGAAAACCCATCAGAAGAAAGTTCTTAAATTGTTAAAGGTATTTTAGGGATATTGTATAAATAGTACCTTAGTTTGTCCGAATACATTTTTTTTTGTCATTAGTTATATCTGGTGATATAATGAACACAGAAAAAGTAAAATATTTGGTGAAGTTATACAATTTGCTTTTTTTCTCTGAGATGGTTTTGATAACACTCTTTGTTAATGAATTTGGTTTTGAAATCAGTATTCAATTAGGCCTTTGTAATAGATTTTCATAACTACAGTCCATTTTTTGTAATAGCTCTGTTTGGTAGTTCACTTGATAGAATATAATTAATTTTTTTTCTTGTAATACTTTTGGAATTGTAGTTTGATTTCAATTTTTAAAATTTCATTCTTACTGATTTATAGATCTTAATCAGCATGCAGCTAATGTCTGGAGACCCTTGCTTTAAAACGTAAGTTTAAATTTATATACATATTTTTCTTAGCATTTGTCCCACTTAGTTGCAGAATCTGCTTGTTATGCACTGCTTTTCCTATAGTCCTTATAGCAAATCACTAACAAAGCACAATGCAATGTCGAGTTTTACTTTCTAGCTGTCTGTTTGCTGAGCTGATGCTGATTAAGGTTGAGAGAGATTGACTGGCCCAGGATCACCCAACTCCCTCCATGCCTAAGGGAGGAATAGAATCTGGTTCTGCTTCTGGGCCTCAAGCCACTTCTTGACCTCTATACCATGCTAGTTTTCAATATTTATGTGAATGTGTACATGCATGCATGGGCATGTATCTTGCTACCTATCTATAATGTTTAAGAATATACTAGCTTTAGTGAACTAATTCCATATTCTATCCTACATGAGCGAAAGATTTGATGTGCAATTGCAGTTATCTTTATTTGTACTGTCTGTTGTCATTCTATTAAAACTGGATTCTGCTTAAAGCCAGATTTCAGTCACCAAAGGCAACTAGATCATTTCCTTCCCTTTTTCATATGCTTCCTTATTTGTAGACATGTATACTGCAGGGTATATAGTGTATTAACTAAATGTATAAGCAAATAAAATGAAATGTTTCTGCACTATTACTTTTTGGAGTGCATCCTTAAGCACAGTGTACCTCTCAATAGCACAGTACCACCTTGATCTGTAAAAAACCATATTCTTGATTTTTGGGTGCTATATCTATATTTGGGTGCTTTTATGTGAAAGAAAAAAAAAGATGTTTATGTATTTCATTGGTTAGTTTGACGAATTTCTCATCTACCCTGTGTATCAAATCTGTATAAGAAGATAATTTAGTGCTAGAATTGCAAATGTTTGTCTTGAATTATGTGAGTCTAATCCAAAGGAAATGAGTCTGTCCGGTCTTTCAGTCCCTATCTTCTATAGTGATGAGCAAACTAAAATATAAGTATGTGCTGCTGCTGCTCTGTCTCAAAAACTATGACAATTGGTTTATGTTAGTCTGCATTTATCATATCAGCAGTATTCTTGTCTGAAGTTAATGAGCAATGTTGAAGGACCCTTTCCTCTTAGTCACAACTTTGCCTTTATTTCCTAAGGTTATATGTTTTAACTTTATTAACAATAACATACCCAGTAATACAGATGTGTACCTTGCATTGACCTACTGTATGTTGGATATTAAAGATGTTCTTTTTCTTCTCTGGTTTTGCTTCTCATCCAGTTTGGATATGTTTAATCCAGAAAGCTGTATACATGGATTGTACCAGAAAGAAAAAAATAGGATTGGGGTGAATTTCTAGACTTTTGTGATGAGTCATGTACTTGTAGCTCAGTGGGTGATCTAATTGTGGCAGTGCAGCTGGGAGATTTTCTTTTCCATTAGCCGTGTTATAATTTACTTGTAGGCAGCACAAAATGAAACGTACAGTACTATAAAACAGCATACATTCTTAATTTGGAGTTAATTATTTTAAACTGCATAGATTTAAATTTGTAGTGTAAAATTCAGATATGAGGACCTGAAGTAATTGATACAAGTTTGTTAGTCTTTTTAATGCCATAATAGCAGTTTTTCCAGAGTGCCCAGAGTAAACAACTATAGTAATCAGGCTTGTTTGGTTCTGTATTTAATCTGAGTCATCTGTAAATGTCATTTGTATTGAGTACTACTTGTATTCCCTTCTGAAAATTTTTTTTAAGTCCTTCTGATTATTTAGAAATAGTGTTACTTTGATGTGTCATTCAGATATAGTATAATGAACTGAACTGTTATTTTCCAGCAGGGTAGAACATCTTCATTTCTTCATAATATTAAACAATATCATTCATCTTTGCATTAGATACTTAATATTGCATTTTGGAATTTCATGTTTAATCTTATTAACATACTATAATTCCGATTTCAGTGGAGCTGGGTTTGGATGTAGCATGCAAGATGAGTTGCAGAGTAGAAATTTCAGCTTTACCTGTCATTTGCATACCAGGAAGGCTTGTATTTTTCAGGATGACAGTATATCTTTGCTCCAAGATTTTTTTTTAATTTTGCCTGGCAAATAATGGTAGAAACATTGAGGAAGCTTGCTCCAGATGGCATTTCAACCAATTATAAAAGCCGGATGATCTAATATTGGCTTTCCCCTCTTAGTGAGAAAAGTAACCAAAATAAAGTAGGATTGGCTTGCAAAAATTGTGGGTAAAGCCATAAAGTCTACAAGCCATGTGTTGTACCCCATCAAGGATCTGGAAGAAGGAGGTGGTATGCTAATTCATAAGTGGTTCAGTATATTTTTGACAGCCTTCCTGGTAAGCCAGACAGAAAACACAACCAGATGAGCCAATTTACTTTACTGTAAGGCTACAGTAACAGAATCTTGCAAATCTGAAAGTACAAATTTCGTGTTGTCTATTTCTATAGCCTGACCAATTAGAGCCAATTAGGAAGAATTAGTTCTTCCTTTTCTTTCTCTGACTATTAAGCCATCTGTTCGATAGATGTTATTTTAATCCGTGCAAGCACCTTATTCACATCCTTCATTATAGTTATCTTATCTTTTTTGAACACTAATTTCAATGCTGGCAGTCTTTGTCCTTCTAGTAATTCTACATTAGCTTTTAATTCTTCTGGTCAGGGAGGCAGTTCATAGGTTGCTTCAGTGCTGACCTGTACTGGTTCTGTTGTTATTACTTCTTCTAAATTATCTCTAGTTCACTCAGCTCACTTCTTTATATTTACAATTGTTATTATTTGAGTTTCTTCTACTATTGGTTTTGGATCTTTCATATTCACAATTTTTCCTAATCTCTTCCAGTTCTGCTTCCCTGAATACTTTATTTCTGGTACCAAATCTCCTTTGATCTGCTAGTAGTTGCTCAGTGGTATTTGAATCCAGATAAATTATTTTCCTATGTTGAAATATTTGCTCTAAAAAGCCAGCACTGTTGGTTCTGATTTATAATAGCAGATTGTAATGTTATGATTTTCCAACACATTTTTTTGTCTTATATGTAGTGGTTGTTCTTCCCACTTCCCTCAGGAGCCCAGCCAGAGCTCCTGAGTCCCTTGCCCACTTGTCAGACACTGACTTGTTGACAGACAGGTTGTTTTATAATTATGTGCAAGTAATCTATAGTTTAGATTCACAGTCTAAGATTGGTGGAAACTTAATAATTCAAGGCCTAACCATGGACCTAAGAATTATTAAGAATTAAAAGAATATAGACAGTTCCAAGTAGAGGGTGTTTTGTTTTGTTTTTTGTAAAATTAGGGTGTTCAGGTCTGATAAATTCAATATTTCCAGTTACCGAGGAAGTTCTTTAGGTATCATTCCAGGGCTCAAATCATGATTGGTATAATAATGGATTTCTTTTTTCATAAGCGTTCACCTTCGATCTTCAAGTCCCAACAGTTTGTAATTTTTCACAATTGTTTTTCCTTAGTCCTAGCATCACCCAGAATTATTATTTATAAATTATCCTTCTTCTTTGCAATAGTGTTGGAATGCATGCATATTTCCCCTTCTAATGGTTGAAAATGATGAGGCAGCAACCAACAGTTCTCAGACTACAAGGAACTATTGCACAAAAAATTCTCAGCTACCCAAGACCATCAATCAAATCACCAAATAGCCATTAATTTTAAAAACAGGAGGGAAAAGCCAGTTTAACTCTGCAGCACAAATTATATAAAAGCTCTATACATTCTTTGCTCCAGAATAGGCAGTCAGCTGCTGTGTAAATTTTCATTCATGCCTGCAGTATTATCTAGTTGACTTTTCTGCTGAGTCAAGCCAAGTCCCGAGTAAGAGATTAAATGTCTGGAGAGCTGAAAATTATTAATGAACAATAGCAAGAGTCTTCTAACTTGGTAACTTTAAGATGTGTGGGTTTCAACTCCCAGAATTCCTGAGCGAACATGACTTGAGGAGGAATTCTAGGAGTTGAAGTCGACAAGCTGTCAAGTTTGAAGAGCCCTGAACTATAGCATAAAGCCTGTTGCCCTTAGGTATGCATACACAAGTATACACCGAACAACCTTCCATCTCAAACTTCTTTGATTGCAGACCTCCATCTACAGCAATGTCTATACCAATTGCTGGAGAATCAGAATCCCTGCATGAAGACAGAAAAGGTGCAGAGAACACTAAAGGATCACATTTGACTGTATCAGGTAGGAAACTGTGGAAAGTAATCAGCCACCGGCAAATGAATAATTATTCAATTAACTCAATATAAGGCCTCTTAAGATAATGAATTGTACATCAGCATAGCTCTCTTTCAAATATTTCTCTGACAAATCAACTTAAGCAGGTATATCTATGAAACATGAATGATGTGTCTATTTAAATAAAGTACTGCCTATAGGTATCTAGAATAAGTAACAATATCATATATGACATCATTGTGGAAATCATCCAGCGTTTACATGCTGTGTGATACAGTTTCCCATCCTTGCCCTGTGACAGACACCTACAATATTTCAAAGTACATGATAGCATAAAGGGGGCATAGGATTTTTGGATTATCTATTTGGTGAAAAATTACTGTCTTAAAAAAGTTAGGATGTTATTTTGAAGAATTTCTTTTTATTTCTTTTTATTTGATTTGATTTGTCAATTGCTTACAAGATAATAGGTATAAGTATAAACATAGTTATGAATAATGAAATGGATACATATAAGAAAAATAAAAAGAAACAATAGGACAGGGACGTTAGGCACGTTGGTGCAAGCGCTTATGCATGCCCCCTACAGACCTCTTAGGAAAGGGGTGAGGTCAATAGTAGACAGTCTAAGGTTAACGTTTTTAGGGTTTGGGGAAGAAACCACAGAGTCAGGTGTAGAGTATTCCAGACATTGACCACTCTGTTGCTGAAGTCGTATTTCCTGCAATCAAGTTTGGTGCGGTTAACCATGAGTTTGTATGTATTGTGTGCTCTTGTATTATTATGGTTGAAGCTGAAGTATTCATTGACAGGTAGGACATTGCAATGTATGATTTTATATACTATACTTAGACCGGACCAAAGGCGGCGTAGTTCTAGGTTTTCTAGGTCTAGAATTTCAAGTTTGGTGGCATAAGGTATTCTGCAACGAGTAGAGGAGTGGAGAACTCTTCTTGTGAAATATTTCTGGACTTTCTCAACTGTGTTAATATCAGATACATAATGTGGGTTCCAGACTGATGAGCTGTATTCAAGTATTGGTCTAGCAAATGTTTTTCATGCTCTAGTTAGTAGTATGATATTACCAGAGAAGAAGCTATGTAGGATTAGGTTAACAGCTCTTAATGCCTTTTTGGCTATGTAGTTACAGTGGGCTCTAGCACTTAGATAATTAGAGATGAGTACTCCAAGGTCCTTGACAGAGTTTGGATCCTCAACAAGGTCTTGACTATTCAGCTTGTATTTTATTTTCTGATTTTTTTTTTGCCAATATGTAAGACAGAGCATTTATTTGTTGAGATTTGAAGTTGCCATTTGTTTGACCATTCTGATACATAGTCAAGGTCTTTTTGAAGGGTAGTATTGTCGGTGGTGTTGAATAGCTTTACATCATCAGCGAAGAGAACGCAGTTGCTCTTAATATGATCACAGACGTCATTTATGTAGAGTATGAAGAGAGTTGGTTCTAGAACACTGCCTTCTTGCATTACAATTATTTACTTACAGACTGTTTTAAATATGGAGAAGCATTCTGACATGTAGTATCTTACATTTCAAATTTGCTTAAACTTCAAGCCATTTTTGTTGCTGGAATGTGTAGCTCATTTCTTAGTTACCAGCATTGATTCAAGTGTCGGGATGGCTTTCAAAAATGGCATGTGGAGGTACATAGGTGACCAACATCATTTACTAATATCCATCCTTAGTGGATTACAAATTACAGTTGTTTTTAGTTTTCTGTAGCCATAACAGATGTGATAGAGTTATTTTTCAGTATAAATTTTTAAATGATCAAAGCTAAATGAAGACAGAATAGAGGATTTTTAATACAGGAATCAAGTTCCTTGTAGCAAGATAGATCATTATTAGAGAAGTAAATGAGTTAACATAGTTACCTACAATTATTTCCTAATGTTATCTGTATGCTAATGATTCCTCACATATAATGTAAAGGTATAATACTAGAGAACAATTCAGCAAACGACTGATTAATTTTAATCAAGTCTTTAGTGCAAATAGCTAGTTGAGTTCCCCAGTTAACTGAGGAAATAATCCAGCAGTAGTGCTGTTCAATCTGACTTTATTTTTGCAACAGATTTTACAAACAAGAGCATCTCAGCCCCAGATGAACTTGGAGCATGTGGACATTCTAGGACTTCTAGTTATGCAAGCCAACAATCCAAAGTATCAGGTAAAACTATTATTCTTTGCTATATACTTTCAGGGCTTATAAAATAATGAATTTTCTGCTTTGTTTGAAAAAAAGTTTTATGGATTCACAAATCATGCTCTTAAATTGAAAATTCCTTACTAAGTGAATAGAGAATTTTAAGAAATATTTATGAAATATTTACAAAACCATTAAATATGTAAGGGTTAGCACTTTCTTGTGGGCCCAGCTCCAATACATTTAACAGTAGTCTAAACATGAGCACCAATGATACTTTTTACCTCATCTTTGTGCTACTAAAAAGTGTATATATTGCATTTCAGGATGTTTAGGTGGCTGTTTTAAAATATGCAAGCATTTAAAAATCATATTGGTGAATGAAGCCAACACTATATAAAGACAGGCAGAGCTGAGGGGAGGGAGTTGTTAAATATGTCATTAGCTTAGTGTCCTTATATTACTACAAACAATCCTAGTGTAATCCTTCTTGAATTCTGTTGATCCTTATCTGGTGCCAGTTTAATACTGAACATTAGTTGACTAGATTCTTGTGTATAAGTTTGAATAATTCTTCTATGCAGCAGCTTAATGTTTGATCCTGATCCTTTGTACCTGACAAACAATGTTAGAAAGTTTAAAATATGTATCAGGTCATTAACAGTTGAGAATGCTTAGCACGTAGAATAAATTAATGAGGAACTACACAATATGCAATGGAATATTCAAACTAAAGACCAGTGGTCTCATTCGGGTAAATTAGCTAAAAAAGTTAGTGTAAAGGTAACAAGAAGCCTCTTGATTTTAGAAACTAATTCTAACTGCCTTAGTCTTTGTGAGAGTATGGCAGGGGAACCCTAACCCTAACTTTTTCCAGTGTTGTTGTAACTTTGAACGGTCACTAAATGAACTTTTGTAAGTCAAGGACTACCTGTAATGATTTAAGGGTCCATAAATACCTTTACTATGTACAAGTACTTACTAGTTGCTGATAATCAAATACACTAAATCACAAATAGCTATATTATGATATTATATTATAATATGACATTAAAAATGGCATATTCTGGTTAGAAGAAGTTGGAAATTTTGACATGGCATCAGACTAATGGCTCTGAATTAATAAATATATATTTTAGGATACAGTACTGAACATTCCAGATCATCCAGTTTCTCTGATCTCTGTCATAAAAGAAATACCTCTGTGGGAAGCACATCAACTGGTATAAGTAGTATTCTAGAGCCATGTGAAGAGGCTGAATCCAGAAGCTCTGAGGATAATCTGAAAGCTACAATGAAAGATGCACTCTCAGAAAATACAAACAGGTAAATACCCTGTTTCTCCAACAATACAGCCTCCCCCAATAGGAAGTCCCAGCATGTTTTATAGGCATGAAATGAAATTAAGTCCCTCCCCCAAATTAAGGCCTATATTAAAACATGCGAAATGGGGGGGAATGGTGGGGGGGGCTTGCCGTTAGGAAGTACTTTTGTTGCACACCCGGATATGGTGCTGCCTGCGTTGACCCCGATACTAAGTGCCTCACCAACGCCGAGGTCAACATCCAAGCCGTCACTGCCCGCCTGCCCAAAGATGCAAGGGGGGGGGAATTAAGTCACCCCCGAAAAGACGGCCTAGCCATTTTTTCGGGGCTCAAAAAAAAAATAAGACCCGGCCTTATCATATCAGAAACACGGTACTATGGAAGGTTTAACAATATGGTAGCTATTGATCATTGTTCTGGAGCATAGCATATCTAGATACTTCATATTTTTCATAGGCTACCAGTAAAACAGGATTCTGTGGAATCACAGCTGAAGAGGGTTGATGCAACAAGAGTTGATGCAGATGATATTGTTGAAAAAATACTGCAGACTCAAGACTTCAGTTTGGACTCAAGTGCAGAAGGTTTGGAAAACAAGAATGAAAACTTGAAAATAAATTGTTGGATCATTCCAACTCTTAGGTTATACAGAGGAAAATCATTAATGATGTAATTGTTAAAGGTACTAAAAATAGCATCTACTGAAGAAACATAGCAGCAGCCACAGAGAGGGACAAATTATGCAAAGAGCATCACACCAGTGAGACAAAGATATGTTCCACCCCTTTTGGATGTGGTTATGATATATGTATGCATACAGTGGCCAACCTTGCTGGCCAATGCTGCTTTGATCATTTTGATGAAAGCATTAAATCTTTTGACACTCTGAGGAGAAACAACTGTTCAGATTAGAAATGTATTTGTAGAATTAATACAAACTGTATTTTTATTTTATTTATTAAATATCTATGTATAATTTGGTAACTCTAGAGAATCTATATATAGTAATCTAAAGTAAGGGGGGATTGCAGTTTCCACAATTCCAGTTTGTTTGAAACTTCTCCCATCATATCCCTTTCTGCTCCCAAAGGTTCCTAGCCATACTTATGGCTGGAAGAGAAAGGAAACATTGATTGCGTCATAGTTCTTCTACAAAACAGCTTGTCAAATGTAGTAATATTGCATATTTTAATATCTATTTTTGCAGAAGAAGGGCTAAGACTTTTTGTAGGTCCTGGAGGGAGCACTGCCTTTGGAAGTCATCACTTACCTAATAGGTATGTCGTTAATGTAATGCATCCATTTATCTGTGACATAATCAGCATATCACAACACTTCAAATCAGTGTTTCTCAAGTTTGACAACTTTATGAAGTATGGACCTCTACTCCTAGAATTCCTCAGCCAGACATACTGGCTGGGGAATTCTGGGAATTAAAGTCCATACATCTTAAAGTTGCCACAACTGAGAAACATTGATTTAAATCATTACAGTAAAGCGTCAAAAACTTTCATTTTATATAGCATGAAAGAATATAACACAGTCTTTGTGTTATATTCTAATATTGAAGATAGAGAAAAGGATAGGGGAACGTGGAACAAGCAGGAAAACAAGAAAATTATTTATGAAAAGAAGAAATTACACCAGTTGTTCAACTTGCAAGAATAAAAGACAAGCCTTCTCCATTCTTTGAATGCATTTATTTATGTTTCATTTTATACATTGGTTAAACTTACTTGTAAATTGGTAGGTGGATAACATTCTTTAACATTCTGGCTTCTTCTGAAAAAAAAAAGGGTTAACATAAAAACCTACTCCCAAAACAATCTTATCTATTTTTTTCTCATCAGATATAAGGTTAAAAGATTAACTCAATTAGCAATGAAATAGAAATTATTTGTACAGTCTTTTTCCACAAACCTGAGATTACCTGTCAGCCTCCCATATGAGCTTTGTTACTTTCCTCCTTTTCTTGTTTGTAAGACTATGGCCTTCATGTTTTGGTTAAATCAAAACAATCTCAAAGGACCATTTGAGTTTAGATTCTAATTAATGTAACTTTGATGGAATCCATTTTTTAAAGCACACCTTTAAAAAAGCTAAATATCTAAGTGGTAATATTCCCAATTTTCATATGGATTTATGCCAACTTCCACATGAAGAAGTGAAAAGAAATGAAATGAAGAAGCCATTAGTTGCTAAAGAAAAAGGGTCCACAACAAAATGTGACTTCAAATATTTACCTTGCTATTGCATCCGTACTGCCCAGTATGCCTCTCTGGTATGAAAATGTTTTCTGAATGATTCTGAAAATGTTTCTATTCTATCACCTGAGCACAGAATGTGCTAATATTATGTCCTGGTATTTAGACATATACTGATTTTTTCGAAAATGACAACTGCAAATGTGTTGCAATATGAAATTTCTACCATGTGTGAAAGCATAAATTTACCTTGCAGGTAAGTCCCTTTGCTAAGGAACACAATCATAAAATGCAATATTACATGATCATACTGGCTTATGATTGTGGTTCCTGCAATTGCAGCTGCAGGGTGAATCCTAAGAGCAAGGGCCTTGAAACGTGGCAAATTTAAGACTTGTGGACTTCAACTCCCAGAATTCCTGAGCTAACATGTCTGGAGGAGGAATTCTGGGAGTTGAAGTCCACACATCTTAAAGCTGTCAAGTTTGAAGAGCCCGGCCTAATAGCATTTGACAATCATATGATTACTATTTGTGACCTGCCAGCTTTCCCATTGTCTTTGATTATTAAAAGCCAGCAGTGAAGATTGCAAATGGTGATTGATACTATGAGATCACTAAATGCCTGAATTACAGTCACATGACTACAGAGACATTACAACCGCTACAACTATTAGGACCCATTTTCAAATCCTTTCTTCAGTGCCACTGTAACTTTTAATGGTCACTGAATGAGTATACATTGAGGACTACCTGTACAAGTTCAAGATTTCCTTTTGTTTCTAATTTTTCCTTTAATCTTTCAGAGTGGGATCTGGAGCTTATGAACAAGTAGTTATAAAACGCTAGAAGAACTGGACTAAGTTGATGGATTTCCAGAATTTATTTCTCAATATTATGAAGGATGAAATCTTCTGAAAGTTGGCATACACTGGTATGCCTGTTTAGATACTTTATATTGAAAATAGCTTCTTCTGAAACCATTTATAAGGGCAATTTCCCACCTTTTAGCATACTGCTAATTTGTTGGCAGATTTGTTGATGGAGTTGTTGTATTGTTCCATATGTAAACCAAATTGGGGTGGGGTTTTTTTGGAAAGAGGAAAAAATCTATAAAATTGAACATATATGAAATCAGTTGTCTGTAAATGGAAGACCTTCAGTAATGTTTTCTATAGGCAAATCAGAATAGGAAATAGAAAGTACTCATTCAAGGAAGTGTTTTGAGAAAGTATTACTTTTATAAACATGTAGTTTTAAAATATGACATGCATTTCAGTAATGTATTTTGTTATCACTTGAAAATGAGTGACTAGCCCTAAATAGGATACGCATATTTTATTACTGTTGAATATGCTCAGAGCCAAACAAGTGTGCTGTACGTATTCTTAAAACTGACAAAGTATAAGGTTGTATTGACTGACATTTAGTCTATACCTAAATCATCATCACAGGATTGAATGAGAACTTGAGCTCACAAGGTAATTTGCAGAGAAAACTTGGAAAATATCATTTGAGAGTGAAATACTTGTCAGATGCAGCATCACCTGTGCAAACGCTTACATGGATGAATGCTTTGTTCCTAGCGCTGTCCAGTATTAAATCACTTTTTTCCATGCCTTCTTAAATAGAAGTTATTTCAATTAGACTTACACAGAAGAAATATCCTGGCAGAACTGTGATGTGTAAACATTTGTATAAACAAAACAATATAATTTGCCTATGCAACAATTTCAACAAAGCATTATCTGACAGCAGAAACATCACTGTTACTTTTACTTTTTTTGCTTAATGGTATGAAAACTACCAATAATCTTGAATTGTATCAATAGTTTAGTAGCTGGTCTCATATATTTAAAAAATAGAAATTGATACACCTTTAAAAATAACTTTTAATAAGCTAATTATACTATCTTATTTCATGTCTTATTTGTACTGTTTTCATGATATCACTGATTCTTTTTGAAAAGAGTATGAATTTTTAGTTAAATGAAGGATTTCTAATGTTTGAAATACTGTTTTTTTTATAAATATAGCTTTTTTGCTGAAATCACATGCGTGAACTTTTAAAATAATATTTCTTTACTATGGTACCCAACAGTGTTCTATTATGTTTCAACTTATTCTAACTTGACTTTAAGTAGGTTTTTAAAGCTGCTGTTAAAATAATGGAAAGGGAATGCACAAGGTTTATTTTGAAATATACTTTAGTTTACTTTGAACTTTCTAGCAGTGTGGTTAACTAAAATGAATCTAAGATAGTGCTTGAATTTATTGATGAAGGATCTTAGTCCTGGAAAATAACTGAATTAGAGAAATAGCAAATTGGTATGAGAATGCACAGGTTAAAATAAATTATAGGATCACTTACAGTATTCATAATGAGAAATTATCACTTTCACTAAATATTCCATGGTGAATATAATTTGTACGATAAAATGCAATATTAGTCCATATAGAGATACCCAGTTTTGTTCCTTTTAAAACTAGTACAGAGGGGATTTCTCTCTCGGCATTCAACATGTTGGTGGTAGGTCTTCTTATTCTATATGCTCATTCTATGTATTAATTCTTCTGTGTAAAGTTTGAACAAATATCATGCACTTTTATTAATTGTATTATTTTAATGAAGTGATTCCAGTATCATCTGAGACATGGGAAATGATCTTCATATTTATATGGCATTAAACTTGCGTAAACTGTATACTGACATGCTGTTTTTTTTATTAAAATCAAAATTTTTATCATAAAATACTTCATTGTAAAGTGAACTTACAAATTCAATAAAATTTGTCCTCAACTTTTATTGGTGTTGTTTTTTAAAATAATCATCACAGACATTTAAATACTTTTCCTGCATTACTTTTTCCCTTACAAGAATTCATTCCAAAGAAAGCAGGTTACCTTTCCTGAAAATAGCGTGCAGAAAGCAAAAGGATTTTTAAATTAATTGCACCCTATTTTCAGGTATTTTTTTAAAGGCCACAAGCCACCCTCACCACCCCTGCCCTCACTCGCCAAATAACTGGCTTATTTGAGCCAATAATTTTCCATAAAAGATAAATTCTATTCAAGGAGTCCTTTTGTTAAATCCCTAGTGCTAAAGATAATATTGATCATATATTAATAATTCACTTATTTGCTAAGTGTAGTAAGAATTGGCATAAAATTGATTTTGATGCCATCGATGGTTTTATTTTTATTTTTCCTATAAGTTAAAGTTAAGTTGGTTTATCTGGCCACAGCACCTTGTGTTTTCTCATGCATATTAGTTTCTGTAGTGTACTGGCTTAAATTAAAAACCAGAATTGAAAATTCCTTAAACAAAAGAGAGCCTATGCATTTTTGGGGGGCGGGGGGAGGATGAAGGCAATACAAAGCAAACTCCATGTCTTTTAGTACCTACGCTGCAATGTTCCATGCATGTACATGAAAGATGGAACTTGCATCACATCACATATCACTGACAAATCTTCCGATTCCCAGAGACCTCTGAGAGACCCTCGGCTAATGAAATATCTCAGCCTCAACAATGAAGTATTTTAGCAAAGGAGAATTAAAGAGACAGAGTTAACTAGAGCTTGGCAATAAAATATGCCAAGAAATGTATTTCTCTCAATATATTAAATAACCTGGTTAACCAGCTTTTTAAAAGAAAGCCACAGCCATAAAGCCAAATGCTATGCGAAACCTATTCCTTATTTTATAGTGCAGGATACACAACTCAAGGAATTTTGGAGGTAAAATAGCTCCTGTGTGTGCTTATACTGATGTGAATACAAATACCTGTCAGATATAGTCTGGCCCAGTCTTGTGTTATAAATCCATTTTAGAGTGCAAGGTCTGAGGATGTGGATATTTGTAGCCATGTAGGGCCTCTTCTTGATCATATTTATCATGGCTCATTTCACTGACTACATGGAACATAATATTGTAAATGCTTTAAATATTTGCAGGGATTGATGCTGGATACTTTAACAATAGTACTATGCACACTTAGGGAAAACCACTTTAAGCTTTTTAATATTTAAAAGGATCATCCATTTCCTACTGCTCCTTTTTAGACTCACCTGAAGGTAGTTAAAGTGCTGTTAATGATCTAAATATGTTCCCCTCCACTTTCCACTCCTGGTTATTGGAGCGAGGAACCACTAATTGTCTTAACTGATGTCCTTTATAAGACAAGTCTGGGAAAGGCAGTAGTCTTAGTTCTCTTAGATCTGTCTGCGCTTTTACTTTCCTGATGGCTTCTGGATGCTATGGGGCACAGAATTAAGTATTTGATGGTACCGATTCCAGAGACTCTGATGTTCTAATATGTGCATTTTATACAGAAAGGAACTTAATGTTTACTGAATTTGGCTTTCTACTAGATTGATGTTTGCCACATTTATGTTTCCCTGTCATATGCCAGGGATATCAAACTCACATCGTCACGGTGGCATCATGTGATGTATCAGGATTTTTTTCCCCCTTTGCTAAATCAGGTGTGGCCGTGGCCAGTGCATGACACATCCAGCCCGCGGACCGGGAGTTTGAAAGCCCTGTCATATGCCATCAGAGATTCTTGACACAGCTAATTGGATAAAATTAGCATTATTATATAATACAGTATCATACCCTTAGCAATTTTAATATATGCGGATTTCAAGTGCCAAAATTCTGCAGCCATACTTGGGAATCAAACTTGAAACAACTTAAAGTTGTGAAGGGTGAGAAACAGTAGCAATATTTAGGAAAACATGCCAATGCTGTTTGTGGATAAAGGTAATAGAGCTGTTCACTGCCACACTGGAATAGCATAAACATTCATGCGCTTCGCCGTTGCTGGGAATCTCAGCAATATTTCAAAACTAATTATAGAAAGATCACTTTTGTCAACAAAATGTACAGAGAGCAGCCTTTATATTTCTAAATATGAAGATATGGGGATGAAGATATTTTATTGTAACTGAGGGGAAATATTTGATATTAACCAGTTTAATGACACCAAAGTGAGAGCTGCATCTTACCACTAACAATATTTTAGATTTAGAATGTCCATCACAAAAAAGAATTGTGACAGGATCAGTTTCTGTCATTCCTGCTGATAGAATTTGAAAGCAAGATTGAAACTACCTGTATAGTTATCCCCTCAGACTCTGCAAATCAATCACGCAAACATGTTAGCAAGTTATTTTGTAGCACAGAAATATTAAGACATTTGGAGAAAAAGCACAAAAGCGTAATACATGATTACAGGGGGTTTATTTAGTTAAGTACTCAATGTTTACCATACTTCAGTGTATTACTAGCAAATACTTCATTTTATCTAGTATATACTAATGATCTTTTGTACAGCAATCTCTATATTTTACTACAAAACTCCTTAAATTTTATTTTTTGCAGTATTAAAATTAGGAATATCAATTTTTAAACTTGTTTCAATCACTTTTTTTTGCTTTGTGATTAGACTGACATCTTTTCATTCAAACTTATTCAGAGTTATGTAGTAAACTGCACTCTCACTGTACTTCCAATTGTTTGAAAAGTTGTATTGCTTACTTGAGTTTGAATTTTTCATTTTTTGTTATATTTTTAAGGAAGGGTTCCTTCACCCTTAAGTATTACCTAGTATAATATTACCTCATCCACTTTGTGGGCAACAGCCCCTTGGTAACAAGCTACTTTCCTCAGGTGAAAAACAAAACCAAGAGCCACTCTTGGAGACTAAGAAGTTACTCAACCATCTATAATCCAATTTAATGCTAAAATGTCACATCTGATTATAGTATTTAAGTCCAATTTTAAACCAGCAATTACTAGAATTTCAATTATGAGACTATTATGTTCATGACAGGAACTGTTCTTTTTAATTCTGATCACCATCCTGTTGTTCATCTTCATAGTCCATCTCAATCATCACTGCAGAACCATCATGGCTTAGTGTAATTTTGCCACTTACAAGCTTATTGAGTTTTTCAAAGGTACCACAAAGTTGATTGACTTTGGAAAAAGAAAATATTTTTGCAAGAGGTACATAGATAACATTTCCCTTAGCCATTGGCTGCATAATTTTACTATCAGCTTCAGAGAAAGGAAAATCATCCAAATACATCTGGAAAGTAGATTGCTGAAATTGGGATTCTGTTCCAATGAGAGTCTCACAGTGCTTTTTATATTCAGATTTTCTATAGTCCAGGTGTTTCCTTGCAATTATCTCTGCTGCTCGAAAAACTTCATTGACCACTGCATTCTGCAAATACTTTTCATCTTTAAGGCTTGGATATATGACTTTGAAAACCTTTCTCAAGAAAAAACAAAATTCAAGGCATTTATATAGCACATCAAATGTTTTAAAAGCTTTTACATATTTAGCTATTATAAACTATAATACTCAACATTAAACTTTATGGCAAGTTTACAATACTTCAGAATCAAGTTATAAACAACTAATTCTTTATAGTTTTCTGTGTAGATGCCCTTCCCACTTTAGTACACAATAGGTACAGCTCCTTCCTGAGAGGTCTTCAACTGATGGAAAAACATCAGAGTACAGAGTGTCTTTCTTTTTTTAGTGTCTACTTGCCATGGGCCACAATTTAGCTTCAGAACCTCACTCTTGACATTGTTCCATTTGAGCCTGTGGATCAAGGGTCTTCAAGCTTGGCAAGGTTAAGACTTGTGGACTTCAACTCCTAGAATCCCTGAGCTAACATGACTGGAAAAGAAATTCTGGGAGTTGAAGTCCACAAGTCTTAAAGCTGTCAAGTTTGAAGACCCCTGCTGTAGATTGTCAGCCTCAGGAATCATCAAGCCATGATTCATCTGAGGCTGATCCACCACAGACATCTCTTGATCAGTTGGAGCAGTCAGATGATGGCTACAACCCCCAATCCTCAGCAACAAACTTACACATCAATGCTACTCAATGAGGCTCCTCACTAGGCAAAGGGCCAGATCAAAATAGTTGCTGACAATTGCCTGCAGATAGATTTATGTAATCACTTTGCCTTCAGCCTTCATTGGGATCAATCATTCAGAATTTCAGCTCATGACTCTTGTTCCCGTGTTTCCTTACTCTTGAATCCTTATTCCAATTGCCATTTGGTGACTGAACTATTTTCTTTAAAAATGTCATATAGATTGAAATTCCTGACTTAGTCACAAATTACTTGTGATGACAAATGAGAAACTACCTGATCTGGAAGGAGGCCTTTGATGCTGTTTGGGAGCTCACAACATGGGGTTCTGAATCAAAACCTCACATAAGGGCATTCAGATCAAACTGATCTATGCCAGAAGAAATTACATCTTTGAACAGAAATAATAAATGCAATTCAGTAGGATTATGTTGATTACAGTAGTTTGCTACATGTGTTCTAGTTCCAGTTATCATTCTTTGGTTTTGCAAGGGCAGTGAACTTTCCAGTAACTCTAATATTCCCTATGTATGCATCAACAGGTGCTAGCAGCTCTATTGCATAGAGTGGTTTCTGAAACTGATGATGAAATATCAAATGCAGTCCATTGCACAAGGCAAAATCATGATAAGTAGCAGAAGCCTGGAAAAATCATAAAATTGGAACATGAAAACCTTGAACAACAAGCATGAGGACCCAGATGAATATGCTCAGAACAAGTAAAAAAAATATCTAGCCAATACATAAAGCAGTATATCTTACCTGAAATTTTTCACAAATTACAAGAAGCTTATTACAGTCTACTGTTTACATGAAACTTATTTCTAAGCAAGTATATATGTTGAACTATGAATATGCAAGATATAATTGTTTCATGGAGTAGATGTCTTCTCATTTTTTACATATTTTACATACAATTTGGGGTCTTGGGAGCCAGCTCGCATTTACAATTATTGCAAAGGCCTGCAGTTTTGTGATTGTTATTTTTGATCTTCTGAGTTGGCTCCAGATATGCAAAATCAATGGGGGAAGCCAGATTCGCTTAACAATCATGATTTACTGAACAACCATGGGGATTTGCTTGTAAAATCAGGTGCATCATGTGTTGCCTCACTTAATGACTCTGCTAATTAATTTTCCAGTCCCAATTTTGGTCATAATTTGAGGACTATCTGTCTTGGTAGTAATCTCATTACATCCAAATTTTTTGGTTTAAATTATCTAAGAATAATGGGAGTTCTTAAACTCCAGTTGACATATCTGAAAGACTTTCCATAGTCTTGCTTTCTCGAGACATATTTATTTGGAAGACCACCTGAAATCAATTGAACTTCTTTTCCAGTAGATATTTTAACATTTACAGCTACCCTGATCTAAAGTGTGTTTGATATAAAGAGGCAGAAGCCCAGTATTTTGATTGTTATATGTTTCAAAATAGTTCCTTCAAATGAAAATTGTCTGATCTTACAAAAGAAAAAGATCTACCTACAGTTTTATAAATTCTTCTCTGACATTCTTCAAATCTTTCAGGCTCGACATTTCTTAGGTTTTTTCTTATAAACACTCCAATTTGTGTACAAAATCCAACATCCTTCCCATGAGGTGATGCTCCTACTCCAGTAAACTCTACTGTGTAATCATATCGAGCAGCAACATCCACAGCCCTAAATTTATGAGGAAAGAAAAATTAAGAAGTTTAAAGGGGTTTATTCTAACAAACAAGCACATCACACATTCCAACCTTCTATGTCTACTCTAAATATCTTAACTACAACTAGACAGTAAAAACACAGCCCAATACAACAAATAATTTTATTCACTTAGTGTCACAACAATACATGGTCATGCTTATGAAAACAGGTCAAGAAAGAAAGAAGAGTAAGGTTTATTGGTGGGAAGGGCACTCTGTTTCTCCTTTTCCATTATCACTGCAATGGAAATGTACCTGATTTAGCAGTGAGGTGGACAACAGTGACTACTAGAAATAAAGTTACCATTTTACCATGTTTTCTACATGCAAAGCCAGTAATCAAAAAATTGTCTCCCCAGTTTTGCAGTGTCTCTTTTTGGGTTTGTTTGTTCATTTTTTTTACAATATATTTGGAAGCAAATAAGGCTGACGTTAACAACTCTTAATTCTGTAATCTCAAAACAAGAAAGGAAGCAACTTCCTGAAAGTGGCTGTCTCTTTTTCATACTATTAAACATGCAGCAAATGGCTCAAACCTCTCAGTGAACAGGCTTTCACAGATAAGAATTTTGGTATGTTGAATCTAGGAGCTATGACGAAGCAGTAATTCGAGACCCATGAGACAATATTTCTCAATATCATTAGATAAACCCTTTTCAAGATAATTTAATTTTATGAGAAAAGTTAAGATGTTAAATTTCACTTTTGTACATGCCTTTTAAAATCTTGGTTCCCATAAATATATAGAATGGATGGGATTGACCTGTTACATCATTTTCCACTTACTTTCCGATCATTGGAGTTATTGTTAAATCAACTAGATATGATAACCCTAAATACAAAACACTATCACTCCTGTGGTGTTTTTTTTTTTTTAACTGTCACCATTTCAAAACTGGCAGTAAAATATGAGATTGGTCTGATCTGATTTTCATTATTTCCTGCTTCATTTCTACTTCCAATTCAAAGTACTGGTGTTAACATACAACGTGTTAACTGCATTATCTTGTGAGAATAAATTATTTGAAGATTTTTATTCCCACATATTCCTACTCATCTTTAGGGAAGGCAGCATTTCCCAACTGTAGTGAAACACTGCTAAGTATCTACTATTTTTCTGTCTAGCACTAGGCAACGACTTTCTATTTCTCCCAAGCCTTTTACTATAATAGTTCAATATTTAATATTAATGTATTGCAAAACACCATTTAATGATTTTGGTTGCTGTTAGGCTTTCATGGTTTGTATTTATAGTACTACTGTTTTAATGTCCTTTTTCATGGCTAATTTTAAAGTAGTGCAAGGCTGGGAAAACCTGGGAAAAGAGTAGCATATACATTTTTAAAATAACATAAAAGCAAGGAAGAAAAGATAACCTCCATATATTCAGAATTATAGTGACTATTAAAAGCAATGGTTTGTTTTGTTGCATTTTAGTTTTACATTAAAATATCTATCTTTGTTCTTTATTCTTTCACCACACAATCTATACAAGATTGAAGGAACTTACCAGTTCTGAAATTGTGTTCGATTCCATTCAAATTTATGATCTGGATGTCTAAATGATACTGTTGGAAGTAAATAATTGAATTCTGAGTTTGGTGTGCTAATTATGATCATGGCTGGAGACATGAAACCAAATACTACTTCTGGAAATTTCTCAAGCTCTTTTGCCTCTAGGTGTTCTATTCTGTAAGTACAAAGTTGTAAAAAAGATCTTTTTACTTTTCAGATCAAGTGAATATATTTACTTTAACAATATTCCAGGACTTCAATGCAATTGTTATAATGAATTGATGCAGAGAACAGAATTGATCACCAATATTCAAATTTTGGGTATAGATGGAAAATCAACGGCACAGGAGCAAAACAATAGTAGGAGAGATAGAATCACTGTCCTGCTTGTCCTGAATTACAAATTAACTTTAATATACTGCACTGCCAGTATAAAAATTGTGCTTTTATACTTCTTTACTTCCAGATCATATTTGCATTGTTCTATAGTCTAAGAAACTGAAAAACTAAGAAAAGACATTCCTTATTTATGAGACTTTGCTAAGAACCAGGAAATAGAAATTTATAAATATCCTAGATAACCCATCATCCTTTGGATCATTCTTTCAGAGATATTTCCTCACCAATTTCCTTAATGCCTTCAAACAATGATAAAACTTCTAATATTCTACCTTCACTGGGAAAGGCAGGATACATTCAAAGATGTAGCTAAAAACAACCCATAACACAATCAAACATCAGCACAGGAAATGGTTTATATTTTGCATTAGGTCAATAAGCTGTATTATTATAATTTCGATGTCATAAAAGGTTTTATAAAATTTCTTTCACAAGAGCCATGGGTCCCAGATTTTGGATGCATACTGTAAGTTAGTCCATCTGAGGTGCCTTGGATCAAAGAGTGTAAGAACAAGAATTTTAGTAGTATATATAAAGAAAATTGTGTTTTTAGTCATCTGAGTTTGCTTTTTAAACATTCATCAACTAATATGAAATATCAAAGTAATACCCACAATTCAATGCAGGTTACCATATCAAAGCCCAGCATACAAGGATCTTTGTGAGCAACTGAACCCTGAAGAAGGGTGACTGTCAGCTGTCTTTCACTTGGCTGAAGATAGTCACTAGGAAGGGGAGACAGCGAATACCTGGAAGCAAATAAATTGCACAGAATGAAAGTATTGTTTTTGTCTATTCATCTCCCTTTTCATCTTGCATGTCCTATAAATCAGGAATGTATAATTCAGCTTCCATCATTCAACATGAAAGAAGACTATAAGTAAAAAATACTTGAATTTTAATATTCTCCCCCATCCAGTGCATTGTAGGTACAATCTGAATAATGTCTGGCTGATTTATGAATGACATGGATACTGTTTCTTTGGATACCAACAGATCTCCTTGGTCTATTGCCATATTTTTGTGACATATGTTAGACTACTATTAAATAAAATATTATTAATTTGTGGACACTGAATAGATTTTTTTTCATACAGCATTATTTTTTGAACTACTGTCCATTTAATTATTTTCCTGAGAGGAATGAAAATGATAGTAAGTTTTCCTTACTCATTAAAAATAGCAAAACAAGCGAAGTGCAAAAATGGTATTATCAGGAAAGAAAAATGTTTATATATTACTTTTTGATTAATTGTGCTAGAGATCTTTATAGCAATGAAATGCATAGCAGATTGTATATGTGAGAAAGATCATAAACGAACAACCATATTCTTTGTTCCCTCAACTCAAAAATGTTATAATCAACTCTCAATTAGGCACTTACCTATCATATCAATATTTTTAAAGAACATTTCAGAAATGGAAAATATAACTCTTTTCTTAGCAGAGAGTGACAGAGAGAGGGAAAGAAGGTAGGTAGGTAGGTAGGTTTGGAGCACAAAACATTGTTTTCCCAAAAATAACTTACACATTCAACTTACAGGTTTTCTTTCATCACCTCTTCATTCATATCTAGCCCAACAAGTTCTTCAATACAATTGCAGAATTTCAGCATCCAGAGTAGTCTACAATCAGCACATCCCAAATCTGCCACCTGTTAATTTGAAATTAATATAATTTCTAATATCACACATAAGACTTGTTCAATACTGTTTTCTTATGTAATGAAAATGAATGCTGATTTAATGCTAGGCTTGATTAAGTTAATTATATGGTGACAGAGGACTGTGATCTACAGCATTGGGGAAAAATGCTGTAACATTTTTAAGTGGACAATATCCTCAATACTTATATTTATACAGAAATCATATGCAAAAATCACCATGCATATTATTAGCAAAATCCATCAAACATGCACACATATACAACTCTTAAAAATGAATCTTGCTTACCTAAAACCAGATCAAATATTTCTAATTTAAAAGGTTCACACATCCCACTAAGCAATTATTATTTTAACCCAATAACCAAGTAACCCTTACCATGCCATGAACCTATAATGTTGTTTGTTTTTAATTTAGCAAGCTGTGCAACTGTAGCTTTCCTGTGAATTCTAAATCCATAGTTTATGGCTTTGCAGATTATGAATGGATTCAGCTGTGGCTTTTCAATACACTATGATCATGCCAACAACAGCTTACTTGTGACTTCAGAGTATATTATTTAACTACTAGTTTAGTGTACTTTATTGTCATTGCACCTCGTACAACGAAATCAAACATCATCTTCAGTCACATCATGACCATGACCATGAAAATAAACACAAACACACCTCCTTCACCCTTCACACATTGAACCGGAAACCCCTGACACCACACCAACACTGCAGTATACAGCAGAATTCAAAAGAGCTACTGCCCTGGGATAGAAGCTGTTTTTCAGCCTATTTGTCGTTTTTATTATTCTGTACCGTCTGCCAGATGGTAATAGTTCAAAAAAAGGGTTCCCAGGATGAGATAGATCTTTGAGAATGTT